AGACATCTCCACGGAAACAGGCTTCCCGGTCTTTGTTTGTCCTCCCTTTGGATATCCACCTGATGCCGACGGTCGTCCACCACTTCTACTTGTAGATAGTTCTGTGACAGACCTGAAGAAGCCTTTGCTCTTTGACTGTGGGACTACTGGCCTATGTCTCACAGTCAGTGAGTTTTTGCGTAGCACCAGGGCAGCATGTGTAGAAAACCTGGCGCGCGCAGCAAAGAATCCCTCTGGCACCGCATCAGGCGTGAAGATTTCAGAGCATCCCTCTGGCACTGCATCGCCAGAGCCTGCCCCGGAACCAGCTCCAATCACCGGAGTTATGGAGCCGTGAGAAATGTCAATCGTTCGCTGCAAAAAGATATTGGTCAGACAAGGCATTGAACTGCCCAAAACTCTTGAAAGAATGTTGATCTCGGAACATGCTGTGCTGTGTAGCCATTGCTGACGTAATGTGCGCAAGCAGAAAAATGGGCCCAAAGCCCTGACAGCTTAGGAATGCTTAGGAGGTGCAGAAACTTCATTGAAACACTGTCTTTGGACATGAATTATCAACTCGACAATCTCTTGAACGATTGCAATCCAAGGACATCAGACATAGCCTCGGCAGTGTAAAACCCTTTGGACACTTGCCTTGAAGGCCTTGCATTTGGGCTGAAAAGACCTGCATAATTTGTTCGTTGGGTATTCGCAGTCCTACCTTCCTCAACATGTCTTAAATGCTCTCGGTGAATTTGCCTTTATGCGTGGTAGCAGCGCACGTGCCATTGATGACTTCGCCAGCAAAGTCAAGGGCTTTGGCCCTATCCTCAGTTGGGGAATGTTGTCCAAAGTCATGAAACTACATGAAACTACGGTATACACTGCGAACACCCTTTGAGCACCCTGAGTTTTTCCCATTTTGATGAATCACATGGCACCGAAGGTCGAAGCTCAGCCGGGTCAGAAGCGGAGGAGAAATACTTGATTCGTGCATACCTTCATTCATTTTGCCCGAATTTCCTTTTGACGTCTTCGGGACATTTTTGGATGATATTCTGTGGTGATTTGACAGCTTTGCTGCTAGCACAGGCCTCACAGGATCCAGAGGCTCAAACATCACAGACGCAGCCCAGCTCGCGTGGCTGGCTGTTTTGGCAGATTTTGTGAGCAGGAAATGGTTCAGTGCTGTTTTGGGATTTTTGGGTTTGAGTTTGGATTGTTTGGATAAGTTCGGCTCAAGTGGTAAACATCACTCCTTTCAACCACGTCTTTCAAAATAAGGGTGAAACTGGATTCGGATCCGTCGGGTTTGCTTTGGAGATCCGCCAGGCTTGGAGGTAAATGATTCCCAGCAAGTCGATCTCTAGCAGACTCTAGCCACATTTCTAACATCCTTGTAAATATGCGTTTGCAAGGTTGGAACGGAACCATTTGAAAGCTTCAAAATGATAGATGTTTGGCTTCTTCTGTGTCGGCCTTGGGCTCACTAGATGTGCTGTCCATGCCCAAAGCTGTGTACACTTGCGCGCAGTCGGGCGCAGTTGCCGTGCGTTGGTAGAATGTGGTTTCAACCTGAGAACAATACTATATAAGTACATACTCTCCCTTCTCAAGCCATATAGCATGTGATAACCACTTGATCTTAATTGATGCTGTTAGAACCCTCTACTTTGCATGTCCGGCGATGCCTCCACAAAGCACCGGCTTAGGTAAGATCTCTCTCCACTGTGTATGATTAACTTCTTCCAGCTTTGTGGCAATTGTATACTGGACACAGCGCTTGTTAAGTGGCTTGTTTGAATCATGGAGCCCTTCTGCCTATTTGCAGTGTTCTGCCTCTGACTTTCGGAAGACGCGTCGCCAGGTGGTTTGCCAAGTTGAGTACTGCGCTGCCCAGTGTTGCTGAGGCGGCAGCAGCGGCCACTGTCCGGGTCCTAGAGACGTCAAGCCACGTCGTGCGGTGGCATACGAGCTGAGAGAAGGCAGCAAGAGCTGAAATCATGAAAAGGAATGGTGACTTTGACGTTTATTTATCAATGTTTGGCACATTCTTGGGCAAATTGAGGCAGGCGATCTGAATGCCTTGTCAAAGGCTGCAACTAGTGCACAACAGGCAGCTTGCGTTGCTTTTGCCAGGATTCCTACCTTGCCAAGAACTGTTGACCATGCATTTGGAGCATGCAGCTGACCATAGTGACAATTCCATTCATCACTGGCAAGGGGTACCGGATATGGCCAAAAGAGACATGGCCGGCATGCTTTTTGATTTTGAGTTTCAGAGAAGTTTGCTTGATACTTGATGCACAGGGCCTGCAGCAGGGCATCACTGACTTCACTGGCAAAGCAAAGGAGCGAACATGAGCTGACTGAGCAAGTATGAAGAATGCTAGAAACTCCCACGCTTTCAAAAATACAAGTAGTTTCATTGTTTTGACTTTGAGAGGGCATTGCACGGCAAGCGTCCACTACCATTTCTGAGAATGCAATCTCTCGAGAGAGGCCTGGTCAGTGTTGAACCACTGTCTACAAGTGCGAACGTAACATTTTGGAGCCAAGAAGTGTGCAGTGTGCTCATGAACACAAGGAGAGATTCGAATACAGGTGGATGATGTTCTTTGGTGGAGCTTTGTTGGGCTGCTTTCTAATGAGCTGGATTGCCCAGTGTCCTCCCAGCTGCCTCACTCTTTGATTCCTTTCGTTCTCCAAGGCCTGGCATTCTTCTTTTTGCAGGAAGCTCGAAAATTCTCAGAAGTAGATCTTCCAAATAAGAACTCAGTTGAAACGTTTTGAAGTCGCTGGAGTTTGGGTCCTTGGGTGTGGGTATGTCCGGGTCTTGGAAGTCTTTTGGCCAAGGCCTATGGTAGTTCTTGCTCCGCAGAAATTTGCGTTGCTTTTTACCTTAGGCAGGATGCAACGGTTGTTTTTTACATGTTTTTACACTACTTTCGGAATTTGTGGCCAACTTTTGCTCCCCTACGCCAGGGTCATTGTGCTTTCTTGGGAGCTTTTCAGCACTTCGAGGACATTCAGCTTTCCTGAGGTAAGACACCGGGCCTGCATGTTCATTGTATAATTAAAATTTTGGGAGCGTTTGCTCCATTGTTTTTGCAGCATCAAGGCACCTTCTTTCCCGTAGTCGTTTGATCTTCACGCTGACCTATGCCATGTCAATGGCCTTGGACTCAGAAGAAAACTGTGCTTCCTGAAATAGGTTTTTTCTTTCAACATGTGCCAAAAAGGTAGGAACTTTGTGGGCGTCTTTGGTTTACAGGCAGGGATGATTGAATTCAGGGATGATTGAATCGCACTTTGTGTCACGTTCTGATGTTGAAGTTGGCTGTCATTTGCCTGCTGTCCAGAGGACTGAGGATATATATATATGGTTCAAATGTCATCGCTGGCAGGTCTTACTTGTTGGCCATTGCTTTCTCAGCCGTGCAGGCTGCGCTTGCAGAGCAGGAACTGAGACAGTGTGAAAACGTGCTTTCACAGTTTTTTCTCATTTCTCAAAGGCGATCCGATTCATGTATTTAGCATTATTCATAGTTTGATCCGCTGCTTCATGAGGTCAGCGCTCTTTCGCCTGGACCTCGAGTCAATGCGATTGAATGATGGTTCCTCGTGTGCCGAGAGGTGGTTCCTCGTTTCGTACATCCCTGGTGGCAGGTGCTTGGAAGCAAGAAAAAGACACGAAGCATGCTCGTAGAATCTTCTACGCATATAACGGCACATAGCAACGAAGACAAATCAAATTCTCTTAGTCGCAAGACGATTTGGACTTCTTGTAGGCGAGCCCTGGGATTTGTGACTGGCATGGCGTGGAGGCCTCGCCCGCAGTTGGAAGCCTTGACCTTTCAGTTTTTGTTGAACCCCCAGGATATGCAAGGGATGCTGCAAGTGCGCAAGTGCCTTCCTCAAATTGCGCAGAGAAGTTACTGCTGGTCCAGCTCGACTCATGAAATTGACATGTTTTCAACTTGGATGTAGCCTCGACAGACTTCAAAAGTAGAGTCTCAGAAACAGCACATAATAATACAATAATAATACAATAAATATATAGAGAGATGTCGGGTGATGTTGGAGACGAGTGATAAGATTCTGGTTGAGTAAAACAGCGTATTTTCGACAATGGCGTCACACATTTGCGTAATGTTTTGTCCTATTCCTGTAGACAGTGTGGTGTCGCGTTGTTTCACTTCTTTTATCGAGAGACTTGGGAACAATGAGAATCCAAGGTAAAGGTTCCTTGCTGCCCTTCTGATGGAGTGTCAAACGTTTCTGGAAGCGCGAAGAGGTCGATTTGCATACCTGGAGCGCAAAACGGACCCATGGTCAGTCATGTCAGTCATACTCCATTGAAGCTTTGGTTTGGCATTGCTCCGTCTCCGTAGATAGTTGATCGAATGGTGTGAATGCCACGTTGGCTTGCAGCCTTTGCCTGATACATGCACCATCATGCACCTATTGCATTGATAATCAAGCAGGTCATGTTTGATGCCACTACGGCAGTAGTTATGGGACCTCTTAATGACAGGATGTCGGAGCAGCAAAGGCACGAAGCTATTTGGTTGAAACACGTTGAGCCATTTGCGTAGTTAGGGTCGCGCTTGAAGATCGGCAGGCACTTTCCTTTAAACTTTCTGGAGCATGTGCTTCGCAGTAACATATTGCTATAAAGTCTAAAGGTTTTGTGTTGTACGACAGATGGCAGGCATGGGACGCCCGCAGGACTTTACAACCAGGCCAACTTTTGGGACTCATGACTCTGTCATTTTACACGACCCTGCTTGCAAGTTACATGTTTTGGGATTGGTTTGTGAGTGTGTTACTTTGCAGCCGTCAAGTGCATGCTTGCTGCATTTCCTCATACTGTACAGCCCCATGGAGTTGTTTTGCGCGTTTAAACATTTTTACAGCCACATGTGCCTTGTTAATGATAAACAAGAGACACGCAGAGACTTGCGTGTGTTGGAAAGTTCCAAAGACTCTGTCACCGGATGATCTGGATGGGTGCTATGCAGTGGCCTTGCCTGCTATTCATAGGCGCGGCGTGACAAAGCTTCAAGAAGAAAGATCCACAGACCTTTGACGCTTTGTGCATTCAAGAGGTCTATTTCTGGAGCTGACGAAGGTTGGGGCGGTTTCATGTTTCAGAGAGAGGACCTGCGGAAGCCTTCTTCAGTGACTCAAAGACTCTCAGTCACTGCCAGTCTTTTGGTATCAGGTGACAATTGTAAATGCTCCAGTCAGTCAGTCAGTCAGTCAGCATCGTCTCAATATGTCTCAATGCAGGTGCACTCTGGACCAGCATTTCCACTGCACACAAGCGGACGTGCGCCAACAGCTGGAAGCAGTCATGGTACAGTGTAAAGCAGCTTTTCTCCTTGGCAGGTGTGATTCTTGATGCGGAAGGACATCGTGTGCGGCTGAAGTGTGTGAATTGGTGCGCTCCCAGCATCAGCTTGTGCAATTGTGGCATCCGTTCTTTACGGCACTGTTTGCATGTCAGGTATGGAGCACATCTGCCGCAACTGGTCGCAAATGGATTGGATCGACGGCAACCAGGACTTCGATTCAGAACAAGCATACAGGAAGTACATCTCTTGCAGACCCATATGGGGGGGTAGGCACAAGAAGCTACTAGGAGCAAAGGGCATCGCTACTAATTAGGAGCAAAGGGCATCGCTACTAGTAACAAGAAGCTATTAGAAACAATAAATACATAGAATTAGAATTACAATGAATTACATGTGCTTTAATTGGAATTTAAGTAAATGAATCTAAGACTCGGCTGTGGCCGTGGGTCCAGGAGAGATTGCTGAAACCATTGCAAAGTCCGGCTTCAATTGTTTGGAGCACAGGAGTACATACATTCCGCTGATCGATTTCAACAAAACTTGCCTTGAGGGTGTCCCATTTGTATTTGAGGTGTCCGGCTTCCCTTCAGCTTGGATGGTGTCATTGGCAACTTTACGATTCCTAACCCGAAGGCCATGAGCGGCCATGAGATCTGTTCGAAGCTTGTTGGAGGTAGATAGGCGATGCTTGGAGGCCATCGCCATTAGGTTGGAGGCCATTGCTAGTAACAAGAAGCTACTAGGAACAAGTGCCACGCTAGTAGTAACAGGTGCCTTACTAGTAGTAACAAGAAGCTACTAGGAACAAGTGCCACGCTAGTAGTAACAGGTGCCTTACTAGTAGTAACAAGAAGCTACAGGAACAAGTGCCACGCTAGTAGCAACAGGTGCCTTACTAGTAGTAACAAGAAGCTACTAGCTTGGAGGCCATTACTATTAGGTCTTGGAGGTAGATCGAGTTCGACAGGTGTCGCTGGCCGGATGTCCCGAGCTACAGGTGTCGCTGGCCTGGTTGGGCCCCACTGATAGGTCGATAGACGACAACTTCCAGAAGCATCAACAAACACACGAAGGTACTGTTATTTCAGAAAGCTTGGTGGAAATGCAGCATCATCAAGTTGGAGCTCCCAAGCTTTGGGATATTATGTTGAACATCTCAGTGAAGCACTGTCAAAAGTGCCTCCTGATGCTTCCTTCAACGATCTTCAACACTTCTTTGCTCAGGGACTTGCCGGGTTCGGTATCATTTCATCAAAAAAAAAGCGATGTCCATCGATTTCCTGATATCAGCTCTTTCTCTTTCTGCTTCCCTCCTTCCTCCACTGCTTGCAGGACCTCTCGCCCTTGGAGGTTTTTGACAGCACAGTCAATGCCCTCACTAAGAGTGGCTTGATGGTAGCTTGGACGAAGTGAATATTTGAATGTATATATATAATGATTATTGGATAGCCTAGCAGCTCAAAGCTTTTGTAATCATAATGATAATGAGGTCATTCTAAACAACCACGTTTCCACAAGTATGTGGCCGGCAACTCAGCTTTAGTTCGAGCCAGATTGTGCAAAGCATTTGGCCAACCGCATAGGTGTTGCAGCCTTTCTGATGGAGAAGGCCTTTGGTACACAGAAAAGTACCCAGAATCATCCTTTTTCCAAGCTTTAAGCGCGATCCCCAGCATAGTCTCTTGCTCTTTTGAGTTCACAAATAGACCTTTTTGTTGCAGCAATAATCCATGTTGAGGCTTCATGGCTCAACGCTATAAGGGCAATCCATTGGCTCTGGCCTGAGAGCTTTAGGAGCAAAGCCTTGTGAGTTTCAGCGAAGGCTTTAACCTGGTGTGTGTGTGTGTGCGCGTGCTGTTTTCTCTTCGCCTTTCCTGTGAGGTGATCGGTTTCGATCTGCGCAACGAGATTCGACCATCAGGCAACTCTGTAACAACTCCGTGACGGATGGACCATGACAGGGCGTTGAGTTGCCAGGTGGACGATGGCCACAGTGGGGAAGCAAAAACAATGCAACTGATTGGGCTGCTGCTGCAGTTGTCGCTGCAAAAGGAGTGCTGGATGCAAATGCCATGTGCCCAGCTATCAAAGAATGAGATCAAGACCGACAAGACCTAGCATCGAAGAGCTCCAGCTCCTTTTAGGATCAAGTTGAAGCTCAGGAGAACATGCTGATCATTGTCTCGGGTCTCTATTTCAGTATCTTCCTGTGCCAGGCTCGCTGTCAGGGATTGGACACGGCAAAGTAAATTTGTCGCCCTGTGATTGTGGCAGTGTGATTGTGGCAGGTCCCAGTCTACCCTTTGCACGAGGCCGCTTTCGTTATTCCCCAAACAGTGTGGTCACTCTAGGGGTTCTTACGGTAAGTGCAAAGCACCGGTGTCCAATCGAGGTGTTGCACCGACGTGTCCGGCTAGTTCGCTACTATTTACAGTACAGTCATGCCTCTCGAAATCCTCGAAGTGCATTTCGACTGCGCCTGCTTGCAAAATCGGCTTGGCGCGCGCGGGTGCTTCCCGCGACTCCGCTCTCGCTGTGGTGCTGCGTGCATTTTCGGACATGGTGGTCACTTTTCATGGCAGGCACAAGGGATACCTCGTGCTTTGGTGGTCCAAAGTCGACTTTTCGTGACAGGTGCAAGGGATGGGAGCGGCTTTACTTCGAAGTGCAGACTTTGGGTCTGGCGGTCAATTCTCCTGACAGGTGCATGTGCAGTGAATGAAGACAGAAATCGTGGTAGGCACAGCACTTTGTGAGCCTTGAAGTGCTGCACTTCAAGGCCCACAAAGTGCTGCGCCTGCCACGAAATCTGCAACTCAAGGTCCGCAAAGTACTGCACCTGCCACGAAATCTGCACGTCAAGGTCCATAAAGTATTGCACCTGCCATGAAATATGCACTTCAAGGTCCACGAGGTATTGCACCTGCCACAGCACTTTGTGAACCTCCAAGTGCCGATTTCGTGGCAGGCGCAGAACTTTGTGAACCTCGAAGTGCAGATTTCGTGGCAGGCGCAGCACTTTGTGAACCTCAAATAAATGGACCTCGAAGTGCAGATTTCGCGGCAGGCGGCACAGCACTTTGTGAACTTCAGATGGGACCTCGAAGTGCAGGTTTCGTGGCCTCTCTCACTCACTCTCACTCACACTCACTCTCACTCTACTCTGACCCTCACTCACTCTCACTCTCACACTCACACTCACACTCACTCACTCTCACACTCACTCTCATTCTCACTCTCACTCTCACTCTCTCACACTCTCTCAACCCTCTCACCCTCACCCTCACCCTCACTCACACTCACACTCACATTCACACTCACTTGTTCACCAACACCACCACCATCACCACGATCTCCACCTTCATCACCACCATCACCCTCTGGACCCCAATGCGTCTGGATCTCTAGACTTTCTGCTGCTACACCTGCACTGTTTGGGGTCTCTTGCTGGGATAGTTTTCCTCAAAGAGACTATGTTGTTATCGCACTTCTCTACGTAAAGTGTGTGCAAACAGGTTCCTTTTCTCCATGGGCGTCTCGTTTATACAGCCCATGAGTGCGCCTGGAATCGGAGATGTCGAACGACATCAGGGGCTTGGAGAAGCGTGTTTCTCAACAATTTTTTCCAGGTATAACTGGTTCAATTTTCATCTCGCAGCTCGCAAGGGAATCGAGTCGTCACCTCAGAGTGAAGACAAGAAAGTGATAGAAAGTGTAATTATTTGTTGAAATTTGTTGAATTTGTTGATGCGTTTACTCTGCTTGTTCTTCGGATGCGCAAGAATGCTGTGAGGATTTACATCGTCGTCGCTCTTGCCGTGCTCCCACTATGCTGGTTCATAGCCGAGACATTGAAAATTATTGACACACAGACATACATTGGCACATCCTTTGCTTAAGCACGGTACCTAGGCTTGGACGATGCCTCAGCCAATCCTTGCGCTTTTGCCTCAGATGTGCACAGCGCAACACGAGCATCCAAGACTTACCAAGGTCTTCCAGCGTGTCCCTGCTGTCGAAGGGCAGTTGAACCAGCACGGGATACTTGGTTTGATTGTATACCACCCTATATAAGACACTGTATATGTATACACGTGTTCAAAATGGTCTACCAGCTTTTGCTGTGGCAACACAGGTATGTTCCAACAAAAACAAACAACAGCGTATGATATTTTTTGCAAGTGTTTAGACTACATAAAGAAAAGAGACCAACCACAATTTTGAGAGAATCTTTGGTTTGCCAACAACTAAAGTTGCGTGAACAAGGACGCAGCTGTGTTTCTGGAGGGCGGTGGATGTTTTGACCACCGTTGGCTTAAAGGTATGGTTTGCGCATGTTTGGCTTAGATCCACGCGTAGACTCAACTCCTCCCTTGTGTGCTGTTCCAGATATTTCCGGATCAGTCTTATAGGCCTCAAAGCTCTTGTAGAGCGGGGCGGGCATTTTCACTTCTACCGTTCTTCGAGCGAAACGCACCAATTTGCCCTTCAACCTTTTTAAGGTTGAAAGGGTGCGCGGTACAAACAATATACGTATAGTTATTTTTATATTCTCAGCATTTCTTGGCTTTCTCAGCTTGTTTGAAGGTAGACAACCAAAAGACCTCGATGGCATAATTTGCGGTACGAAAACAAGCTCCGCGACAAGCACTTGTCATCGACGTCGCAACATTGTCATCGATGAATCGCGTGATTAAAATGGGGTGGGGTGGGTGTAAGTCGATTTCACAACATTGTCACCGATAT